GGATCTCTCCACTCCGGGTCCAAAGTCCGTGCCTTCTGGTTGACCCACTTGTCCTTCACGTACCGCTTCCGATCGATGCACCGCCCACTGCTACCGTCCCGCTGATTCCCGTGATGCTTGTGGCACGCCTGTGTGCCGCTCCACTGCCGAGATGTGGCACTTCTTCTCCCGGTCCAAAGTTCACGGTAGAGTCCAAAGTCCGGTGAATTCCCGTTATCCTCTTTTGCACACGGCACTCTTGCCTTGTCCGCGAAGTCTCCATTATCTCTCGATCACCATCCTTGGTCTCCAAACTCTCTCGCTCTCCATCCTTGGTCTTTAAACTTTCTCGTTTTCCATCCTTGGTCTCCACACTCTCTCGCTCTTCATCCTTGGTCTCCAAACTCTCTCGTTCTCCATCCAAGTCTCCAAGCTCTCTTCGCCGCGTCGTTACTACGCGAATTCGCCGCGTATCTGGTAAGCGGCCGGCCATCTGTTGCTGCTTCTACTTGTGGGGAGTTATTTAACTCCTCCCAGAACTTATCACAAATAATTTATCAAACTTGAAAGTTCACTTGAAGTCTGAGTCATATCCATATGATAACCTGAATGTTGATTTTAGTAAGAATCAGTATGTTCACCGAAATGAAATGTATACAAGACTTCAATATAGCTACTATAATCGTGAATCACAACCATTTTTGACCCCAAATGAATTTAAATTGAAGGCCCCTATTATTGTGGTTGATCTTTCATATCAAAACGAATCAGTGAAAACTGGTCCTGTTGATGTGAGAATTTCTATACAACTAAAGACACCAAGTCATGAAAATACCCAAGCTCATTGTCTCATATTGAATATAAACTATTGAACGGACTAGAAAAATGTTGAAAGAATGTTTTGATTGATGTTCAAGGTTTCTTTGATAATAATAACAATTTTATTCTAAAGGAAACTGGAATTGTATTCGAAAAAGATCCAAACTTGAATAATAGTTTTTTAATAGAACCACCATATGATTTTACTTTGCTAAATACAAAATCTCGAAAGACTGAACGTTGGTTAACCAATACATACGACAAAATTTTTTGAAACGATGCAGAAAACAGTTTTCCACTATCTGGAAAGTATATAAGGACAATTACAAACGGAAAACAAATTATTTGTAAAGGTGTGGAAAAGAAACGTTTTTTGGGCTTCGTCAACTCATTAAAATCGAGGAAATGGGCTGTCCGTCATTAAACAAGTTTAAAGGAACCCCGTTTCACTATTGTGAAACGCACCTTAAGTTGCGCACCTTTGTGCTCTTAAGAATGCATACATTATTTTGACACTTTTTAAAAGTAGCTTTAAAACAATAAAATAATTTTTATACGTCATCTTAAAGTTGAGACTAGACGTGTAAAGACCTAGAAGAAAACAAAATTAACAAAATGAAATTTCATGAGGAAATTGACCAAATTACTGAACAATTTAAAGGACAGATAATTGTTCAGCATTTTCAATACCTTCCAAACACAACAAGGAAGAACGATATAGTCGAGTACCTCGACTCTCAGATACCAGTTACTCAGCTAATGGGATCAAAGGGAATTGGAGGTATGCAAGCAGCAAAGCGAGATTGAAATTAAAATTTTGTATTTAGCATGAAGATTGTGGGCGCCAGAGGCTTGGGCGGCTTTTGGGCGTTAGAGTGGGCGTGGCATATTTGCGTAACAAACTTGCGCTGCGTACAAGGCTACGAAATCTAAACCTGAGATGCCATTTCTCTATCTTAGATATTTTCCGAGATATCCGCGTTCATACTAGTATTTACAATTTTTTTAAGCTTGTGGGTGGTTTGTGGGCGTTCAAGTGGGCGTTCGGTCAATCGATAGGTATTAATAAGAACAATACATTTCAGTTAAAATTTGTATTCTAGCATCAAAACTGTAAGAGCCACAGTTTTGGGCGGTTCGTGGGCGTTAGAGTGGGCGTGGCACATTTCTGAAACAAACTTGCGCTGCGCAGAAACCTCAGGAATCTGCATGCCTAATCCCAGTTTTGTAGCTCTTATAGTTTCCGAGATCTCAGCGTTCATACGGACAGACGGACAGACGGACATGGCTAGATCGACTCGGCTAGTGATCCTGATAAAGAATATACATACTTTATGGTGTCGGAAACGCTTCCTTCTGCCTGTTACATGGTGAACACTTTACGTTTTGTAATCCTGAATTGACGTCGGAAACGTGCGCCTGCCTTTTCTATGCAAATCGCCGGAACGAAGCCAGAAAATTAAATTCAATATATAATAAAACATGTTCACATTACCAAAATAAATTAATAAATGTATTATGCTACAAAATAAACTTTTGACCTTTTATTTCGAGTTAAAACTACAGGTACGAAAAATGGAAAATATTTCCTTGAGTGAGATATTTCGGCTACTTGCAACCCCTATTATGGGACGCATTAGAGCTAGCAGTCAGCCGTGTGGTCGTTGGTCTTGTCAATGGGCGTGCGGCTTCAGACTTGTGCATGTGTCCCTTTTATTCCGGTCAGGAAATGGACAGGTGCGCATGCTCGGGTAGCTTTTGCTTGAATCCCTTTTATGACATGTTTATGACCCGTTTGTGGAAAGGAGAGATCTTAGACAATTTACCAGTTAAACGTTCTGCGGCGAAAAAAGATGTTTGTTTGAAAATATTCCACATCTGAGAATCATGATCGGACATGTTCCTGTAAGGCAACCATGTGGAAAAAAGTCACGTGATCAGTATTGTCACATAATGGTGTGGGTTTGGGGGCAATTTAGTATACTCTTTATGGATATGATCGTGACATTTTTATGGCATCTAAACGTTTAAAAATCAGTTAGTTTATGGATTACGCTAATTTTCCGAGAACCCGCATACATTAATGAGGAGGCGGGGGCCATTAATATGTTAGTTAGTGAGGGGCGGGGGTCATTAATATGTTAATTAGTAAGGGGGCGAGGGACATTAATATGCAAGTTGTCCCATAGTCCGCGTTTCCATACTAGTCCTGCTGAAACAATCTTGCGCTGCGCAAGAAGCTCAGAAATCTGCATGCCAAGTCCCAATAGCCTACCTCTTATAGTTTCCGAGATCTGAGCGTTCATACGGGTAGACGGCTAGATCGACTCGGCTAGTGATTCTGATCAAAAATAGAGAGTACTTTTAAAGTAGAGGTTTCAGAGGACTTTGTTGTGGACTTGGATCTACTTCTACTTCTTCCCACCGCATATGCTATGACCTCGTAAACTAGATGTTCATTGTCTTGATCGTTCTGTTTGCCCTTTTTGTTCGGGACGTATATGGGGCATGTAAATAGTACCTGTTTCCGGAATTCCCTCTTTCGTTATTATTCTCCTCCTTATGGCTTTCACTATTTATTCCGAAGTGGCTTTTCATACAGCCCTCAGTTTCACCCAAACCTGTCCATAAACATTGTGTTTCGTGGATTTACCTTGTCTCTGATAGCAACTATTTTTCCTGCGACCGTGTGTCATATGTAATTCTACCAATACCTGAGATAATTATACCCGTTATTCGTCCGAAAATATGTATCATGTAGAAGAAAGCGTCTCCGACCCCTTAAAGTGTATATATTATTGATGGGGATCAATAGCCGAGTCGATTTAGCAATGTCCGTCTGTCCGTATGGACGCTGAGATCTCGGAAACTATTAAAGCAAGAGTGTTGGGACTTGACCTGCAGATTCTTAAGCTTCCTGCGCAGCGCCCACTCTAACGCCCAAAAACGACTATAACACTTAAGCCCGTCAAGCGTCGACAACTTTTAATATTCCGTAAATCATTAAAAAGTTAAGCCCAAAAATAAGCAATATTAAGAACATTTGATTGAGATTGCACACCACATACAGCAAATCAGCTGTTAATTAATACGCCACTAAGCCGCTAGATGCGCTAAAGGCTATTTGGCGCTGTAGGCCAAGTGGCATAGAAGAAGAAGATAGGTGGAGCTTTGGGCTAGGTGTGTTAGTGAAGAAAGCAGAGTTTAGTTTTATCAAAATCCGACGATATAGCTGCCATTAGAACGATCGGAAAATTGGTGGAAAAATAATATGAAACAAAATATAGCTTCGGTGTTTTTTAACGTATAACCTCCTACGCTTCGAAATAACAGTTTTTAATTAGTTCTGAATTTTGTTTTTAATTTTATCAAAATCGGACGAGTATATCATATAGCTGCCATAGAAACGCTCGGAAAATTGGTGGGAAAATAATTTGAAACAAATTATAGCTTCGGTGTGTTTTACATATTTTCTTACGCTACCATTTTTTGTATTTTTAGTTTTAATAGTTATAGCTGCAAGAACATACAAACTTCGGCTTGCCGAAGCTAACATCCTTTCTTGTTTTTATAGGTGTTTTTGTTAAGCTCTACCGATGACAGAATTAAAGCCTGCATTTCTGGTCCTTTTACTAAGTCATGGATTCTCTAAAAAGTTGGCTGGCTTGGTGTGGAAACCGAACGGCAATACCTTTCGTTTGAATAATCCTCTGACAGGAAAGGTAAGTGCTGTGCATTGATAATTATTTGCCACAAGGAAGTTCTGAGGTCCAATGCGCTAATTTACCGAGCTTTTTGGACTTGGTTTTAGATAAGGTGCATCCTCATGTGTTCATCTGGTTTCATCTCTACCTTGGCTTGGCTCATTGCATATAATTTTAGTTGTGATACCTCCGCACTGAAGGCTTGCTTTTCATTGCTCTAGATAGACTTCCTGGCATAAGCTGTATGTGGATCATGAGCAGTACAACTTTGAAATTGTGTACCGAATGCCGTTGCATTGTCAAGACGCCCGGTGAAAGAAATCTTCCTAAGTCAGAAGAAAACAGGAAATCATAGAATGTTTGTTGACTGAACGGAGATGAATTCAACGAACGTAACCAATTGCATATATAAAATAAATGTTAAAATTTTTTATTTGGCAGTAAGGCGTTGTAAACAGATATTTATACTGTTATTTAATTTGATTTTATTTCAAATTATAATTTTTGAGAATAATTAATATTATATAACACATTTAAAGATCATGTCCATTGACCGCCATTGTAAACACGTGTTGAGAAATATTACTCCAGGTTAACCTACAAATTATAAAGAAGAAATAAATTATATTATAATATATTGTATAAAAAATAAACAAATATTATTATTTATAATTTGCTTAGATATTTGTTTTCTACTATTTGTTTAGTTTGATTCTATTAAGCGCCAGATAGCGGCACAAACTGTAAGCTAGTTTACTCACAAAGTGTAAGAAAGCGATGGGTACACCGTTATACAAATTGATAAGTTATGATTATTAATTTAAGTAGGTTTAGTTTAATTAGTATAAAAAAATGTATTTTTTATATGTTTTATTGTTTCTTAAAGTGCATAACTTCTCTTTTTGTTATACATGATGCCGAAGCTATTAATTACACAAATTAAGTTATATTTACTTTGGCGCATAAACGATCTCATTTCGTTCGCAAGCTCAAGACAAGGGTCACAACAACATAGTAAGTCATGACCCTTAGCAAGGTCATCACTAGTTTTATCGGTATACACTTGGTATGAGCGATTTTTTCACGCAACCAAAACGTCAGTTTTGACTGGTCAGCTATGTATAATTGGTGGAATTTTTTTACGAAGCAGACATAAGTATCCATAATTTGTTTAAATCAGACCACTGCATTAAGGGAAATGTAAAATTCAAAAATTTGGAAGCAAGCAGTTAAAAGTGTGGAAAGAGCGCAGACTCTGCACGCCTTATCATTCGATTAAGAGAGAAAAAAAAATTAAGAGAGAGAATACTAGAAAGCGCGAGAGCGGGAGCGTAAGTAAGCGTGGTGAATCGATAGGTAATGATAAGAGCAATACGCTTCAGTTAAAATATTTATTCCAGCATTAAAACTGTAGGAACCACAATTTTGGGCGGCTTGTGGGCGTAAGAGTGGGCGTGGGACACAGACGAAACAAACTTCGAAAGCGACGCCCACCCGCGATCTCAATATTTGGTTATGTGGGCGTAGACTGTTTTAAGCGTTATCGGCGTTAGAGTGGGCGTGGCAAACATTTATTGCGTCAATCGAGACTAATACATTTAAGTTAAAATTTGTATCTAGCATCAAAATTGTGGGCGCCACAGGTTAAGGCGGTCGTGTAACAAACTTGCGCTGCCTACAAGGCTATGGAATCTTTGATAGTTTACGAGATATTCGCGTTCATATTTGCGATTTTTTAAAGTTTGTGGGCGGTTTTTTGGCATTAAAGTGGGCGTGGAAAACTTTTTTTTGATCAATCAATAGGTATTGATGAGAACAACACATTTCAGTTCAAATTTTTATTCTAGCTTCATAACAGTAGGAGCCACAGTTTTGGGCGGCTTGTGGGCGTTAGAGTGGGCGTAGTACCCTGCTGAAACAAACGTGCGCTGCGCATAAGGCTCAGAAATCTACATGCCAAGTCCCAATTGCCTAGCTCTTATAGTTTCATACAGATCTCAGCGTTCATACAGACAGGCGGACAGACGGACATGGCTAGATCGACTCGGCTAGTGATCCTGATCAAGAATATATATCTACTTTAAGGGTTCGGAAACGCTTCCTTCTACCAGTTACATACTCTCTGAAGAATCTAGTATACCCTTTTACTCTACGAGTAACGGGTATAATAAAGAGTGCAAATCTTTAGGAACAATTTTTTGATCGTGAATTTCTTACCGTGGCTGAGTTATATTTTACACACAAATTGGAATTAAAAATATATTTGAGAAATATTTTAGTGAACATTTGTGGGCAAAGGAAACTGGAATATTGTCGGGCACAAAAAATCGGGAATTGAAATATATATATTCAATACCGTTGCGTCAGATTAATCACTTTTGGATTTAGACAATATATCACACAGAAATCTTGTCGAAATAGGGTTCGAAACACTGACTACATGTCCGGCAAATTATAGTAAGTGGAACTTATCTGGAACGTTTCAAGCCTGCTGAGGAAAATCAAAGGAAACTCGAGGAGAGGAAGATCCAAAGATTTTGAAATCCTGCTCGAAGGCCAAAATGTTGGGGCGGGCGGCTTGATCGCTGAAATATGTGAAGTCCCAAGAAGGAAGGTACGCAAAAAAAAGGGGTTACTTGGGAATTTTTTACGCGACGTGCACAGGTGTTTATTGATACAGTAGTGCAGTGTAAGCGCGTGAGACGTAGACATCTGGATAAAACTTCCGCTCGACACTGCGGTATGATTAATTTTAAAAAATAACCACTTGAATTATTCTTTTTGCTTATACTTACAGGTCTGGTCAAACACTTTTAATTAACACAGTAAAGAGCTATTAATAGCTTAAGTCCAAAAGAACATATGAGCGTCCAAAATTGTAAAGTCAAAGAAATGTGCGCGGTAGGTAGGTTTTAGCGTTTGTGGGCATAAGAGTGGTCGTGGCACCCTGCTGAAACAAACTTGCGCTCAGCGTTCATCTGGACGGACGGACATGGCTAGATCGACTCGGCTAAACCCAGAAAAATTGAGAACGGAAAAAACGTAGGTCGGTTCTTCTCGGTTTTAGTAATGTGTCTTCTTACATTTTTCATCTCGGTTTTATGACGAAAGCGATGTCGATTTTAGTAATCCGAATTAAATTCTGCGGTTGTGGACGAGGGACTTAAGGGGAAGACGTAAAACAAATGAGAGTGAGAGGAAAAAGACCGAACTCCTCTCTTAAAGTTACCGCAAAGTTATCGAAATAAGCGGCGTCTATATCACTGCAAATTCACTTATTTGTATATGGTCAAACTGTGCGGTTTATTGGGTGACAAAAATTGGAGGACCTGCTCCAGAAAATCAACCTATTAAATATAAGCTAATGTGTGAAATAATTACGTAAAGTGGATGCTACCAACAAACACAGACTTCTATAAACATAAGTATGTACGTACATTCATATGCAAGTTATCCAACCCGTGAAACGGTTCAACCTATGGAACTTATAAGCAAATTTTTGAATTCAATCTCAGCTATGTTGCCCTTGCCTTTAGCGACATTGACTTTGCCTTTGTTTAAGACCCTGCCTTTGCCTTTTCCATTAAATTCGAGTGCCGCGCTTGACCGTACTGGTAAGATAAATAAAACAGTCGTAAAGTAAACACAAGCTTCTGTTCGAAGCTCAAACTCTTTCGTTCGAAGCCCACAGAATTTCGTTCTAAGTACAGATCATATTGCGTTCCGATTTTCAATCAAATTTCATCTCACAAAGACATACGACAGTTTCAGCATAAGCTTTTATTTTAAACAAAAATTAAAGTTCTAGAAGCTTAATAAAGAAGAGCTACTGGCCGAGGTTGGTTGGATATATTTTTAGAATTGAGAGGTCACTCTAATTCTAATAATTACAAGTAAATGTGTTTTGATGTATAAGTGAGTTTGTGAATTAAGGTCAATCACCAATAAAATAAAATTTAAAAATAAAAACTATATTTTTTAAATCAACGACCACGAATAAAATAATTGGCGCCCAATGTTGGACTGGGTCATTAAAAGTTCTAGAAAAAACAATATAATGGAAAATAAAAATAAAATTTTAAAACGGAACTAGTGCAGCCAAGAACTCAAATTTGTAGTGGAAAAATAAAACATCCACCAACGACACAAAACAAAGATACAGTGATCGAGATAAATTTGAAATGGAAAACAATAAATGAAATGATCTATAAAAATAAACATTAAGTTGATTAAATGGTGGACTGAAGATCAAACTCATAGACATCAAGAACACTATTAAAAAAAACAAATTCGAAATGGCAAAAAATAATTGAAAAAAATAGTTTAAAAACCAACCAAACAACCATAATTATCCATGTTGGGGCGGGGTGGCTTGATCGCTGAAATAGGTGAAGCCCCAAGATCGAATGGTACGCATAAAAACTCGGTGGTACTTTGAGGTTTTTACGCGACGTGCATATATGTTTATTTGCACACTTTGAAATAAGAACTGCTTAAGCCTAACTTAACTTAAGCGCTCCAGAGCAGAGCGGAGACTTAAGGGAGAGATGGAGAGGGAGAGCGGACGGCAGTGCGAGCGCGCGAGATGTATACATCTGGATAAAAATGCCGCTCGACACTGCCTCCTGAAATAAAACGCCCTTTTGACGTAAACATTCTCCCCCCCTTGCGAGGACACCCGTAGCAAGAACCTCAGGATAGTAGGCTCAGGAATATGTTGGAAGTGAAGATCGGTCGTCCGTATGTAGGAGAGTGTGGTGGGCCTTTCCACACTTGTGGCAGTGATGACCACTGCAGCAGAAGTCCTTGGAATGATTGTGAGCCAAGCAATTGGAGCAGTACTTCTGGATATGTACTTCCTAAAGCCGATTCTGGCGGCTTAGCGGTAGAAAGAGGTGGCACTTCCGTAGAAAATGGATCTTTTGGCAGACTCGGCATTGGTAGGATTTAATACCTCGAGTACGTCTGCCATCCAAGGCGGGGTATGGAACCCAATATTCGGATGGAGTATTCTTAGGAGGGACTTTTTGTACGGAAACTTGCGCTGAATATGACGAAATTATGTGTGGAACTGAGGCGGATACTAGCCTTGGAGGGGCGGATGGAATCGGCGGAGTAGTAGGGCCGCTGTGTCGATGCAGCAAAGTGTGATGCCGATCTTGGCAAGTGAGACAGTTGTGAGAGCTTGTGCAATCCCGGAGTTGTTGGCTGCTTGCAAAGCAGCACAACTGCTTCCTTTGAGTATAGGCTAGGCGATCGTCTACCGTCATTTGTAGGAAGCGTGGACATATACGCACGGGGTGGTTCTTCTTCGAACACAGATCGCAGCCTTTGGGTATCGGAACTAGCCTGAGTATAGGCTAGGCGATCGTCTACCGTCATTTGTAGGAAGCGTGGACATATACGCACGGGGTGGTTCTTCTTCGAACACAGATCGCAGCCTTTGGGTATCGGAATTATTTATTATTATTGGAAATTCTGCCATTCGATTTGTGTCTTTGGACTGGGCGTGGTGGAGATTGGCAGATCGGAAGCTATCGACGGCCTCAAGAGTTCGATGGCGCTCCGTCAAATAGGAATCAAGCTCAAGCCACGTG